CATACAATTTACGTGGGGAAATATCAGTATGCCTTGCGGTAAGTACCCGTAGGACCCGAAATATAGTGACGAAGGACTACGAATTGATGACCTTTAGGATACAATGGCAGCCTGTGGTATTAAGCTTCTCTTTCTCCTCCAAAGATACCAATAAAAACACTTTAGCCCGCTTCCGCTCTCGACTCGAAAACCTGGATATCAAGACCTTCGAAGACTACCTCGTCAACATCACAACGCACGTCGTTCAAACCAAACGGAATACTGCCAAGGGGCTACAGGCGCTGGTTAACGGCAAATACATTGTGGACTACTCCTTCATTGATGCTCTAGACTATGCAGCAACACCGAGTGATCTGGAGAATCTAGAGAGTCTGTCTCCATTAGAGGATGATTTTGACGCCGCATGGCCTGATGCGCGAGAGTATCTCCCACCTCCCGGGAAGGAACCCTTCAATGGGTCTGACCAGTCATTCGCACCGAACCCGGATCGCCTCCATCTCTTCGATGATTATACTTTTATTTTCTGTGATAAGTCACAGCATCAAATATTGGAGGAACCGATCACCAATGGGCATGGGAAAGCTCTGTATTTTGAGGTGAAAGAAGGCTCCACTACTTCAGAGGAGATAGTACAATTCATGAAGAACGCAGCTGGTCAGAAAGGTGTTGGGTTTGAGAGAGTTGGGGATGGAGGAGTGGTGTTGGTACGATTCCGGTCAAAAACTGGAAAAGAAGACTGGGTTCTACGGCTCCTCGATGAGGTAGCGCTCGCAACTGACCAACGTGTCATTCAACAAAACGAATTCCTCAATGCAATTTTAGAGAATGATGCCTCGATACTGTGTCGACGGCTACCTCAAGAGTTAGTGCCAGATCCTACACCCCCGGAGCCTACACTACCGCCTACACCAGCCCCGCCTTCCAGCGAAGATATCCAAGTCGTTGCTCATTCTCATCCATCTGAAGACGTGAGTCAGCCTCCCAAGAAGGCTAAGGGCATTCGGACGCGCAAATATGTCAGCAAAATGAAAACATTCGATGACGGATTCGATATCAACTCTATACCAGCATATGCTCCAGGCGTAGAGGAGTCTATCGAAGATCTACCACCGATGTCGATAGATGCCCCCTCCGAAAACCAGTCTCAACACCTAGAAAGTATTCAGGAAGAAGAGGACCTGGTCTCAAACCTGCTACCTGGAGCTAACGCGATGAAACGCCGGCGGGCTGAGACTTCTCAGCGGAGTTTGGAAGATTCGAATCCCCGGCCTAAACAGGAAGAGGTGCCCCGGCCCAAGCGCCAAAAGCTTGACGTATTAGAAGCAGCCCGTCAACACCGAGAGGCGGAAGAGGATGCCGCCCGTCAACGACGGGAAAAAGAGGACGAACTGTTACAAACGTCCCTCAGAGATGTGGATGTTGAGAAACTCAAGGGGCTCGCCATTGTCGAGGAAATGGAGCTTCCGGCCAAACCGGCCGATGATAGCAACAGTCGGTGGGATGAACGGTGGAATGGCAGAAAAAACTTCAAAAAGTTCCGTCGGAAAGGCGACTCTAGTCAACAACGACGTCGGATCCAAACGGTCATGGTTCCGTTGGAAGAGGTGGCGCGGAAAGACTTTGGCATCGGAGATCACTACTGGGTTAGCACCAGGAAACCTTCCGATCCAACTCCGCAAGAAAGCCACCAAGACCGTACTCTCAGTCAGGTGGAAAGCGAACCTTCACAGCTCCGGTCAGTGGCACGAAGTGAATCCGACAGGACGACGACGCAAAGAAGTCAAAAACGGGCACGCGAAGAGCGAGATTCAGACAGTGATGATGAGCTTCGGTTCCGGTTTCGTCGCAGGCGATGAAATCATGTCATTTACAGATAGATCATTTACAGGGCTGTATATATCATTAATCTCGGGGCACTAGCAGTAAATCAAGAACAGTTCCACTGGCAAGGCGTCAAAATCAGCCACTGAGCTAAGCAGATGCAAACGCTAAAGCTTTGGAGTGAAAGGTTATCCTGCACTCTGCAGTGATCTGGATTTCGTCACTAAATTGAGATCGACTGGAGATTTCGCCGTCGACAAGCCAATCTGAAGTGCACAGAGCAGGATCGCGACAGTAATTTCAGCCCGCAAGAACAGGATGTCTCCGAATCGCTCATCAAGATGATACTCGTCGCCCGGGATGAATCTCGAACAAGGGGGCTGCTATTAATATACTGCTGGAGTCTGAGCCTAGACACAGCATCACACTTCACAGCCTGCAATCATCTGACCGAATCAAAGTCTTCCGATTCTCTTCATTCATCATTTTGATCTCCTCTCTCTCCATCTCCAATCCCCTTCTTCGCCGTCCTCTTCGACTTCCCTCTCACTCCTTTCTATCCTGCAAGTTGACTTCCCACTCAATCTCTCCGCGTCCGCTCCTTTGATCCTTATCGCTCACTCGATCGCGCCCTCCACTCGTTGTCTCCAACGCTGCCTGACGGCCTAATTCCTTGCTGCTTTGCTCCGCTCCGTCAACCAACACAGACGCATCCAACACAACATCATCTCCACCATGGAGCACGCTGGCCGGGCGTAATTCGACTTTCCTATTCTTCCTGGTCGGCCCATCGTCAGTTATAACCACGCTCTGCTTGCTTCTTCGTCTACCCTCCCCACCTTCGAGAGCCCAAATCTGCCTTGAGTATGTTCAGCCTCATATTCTCAATTCTTTTCTTTTTCCTCTTCTTGCTCTACACATTCTTTCTCCTCATTTCCTCTGTCATCTCCAGCTCGCTAACTCGGGTTTCTCCATAGCCATTTTTCCCCCTCCCTTTTAACGATTTAACGATCTTGTGTTCCGCTTGGCGTTTTAGGTCATCCTTCTCTTTTTTTCACAAAATAATGACCGCCGATTGCCTCTCATCTCCCTCTCCCTTCATGATTTCTGCAATTCCGCCCCCGCGGCCCGTTTCGGTCAATGCCCTCGCGAGAACCACCTCGGTTTCAAATCCGGTCTCATGCACAAAATCAAGCCGAAGCACAAGCGCCGAAATCCCGGCCCACGAGGAATCCTTCGTACCCGTGGGTCCCGATCCCCCGGGATGGGCCCAGTCTCCAGTGGATACCGAGATGGAGGATGTGCAATCGGCCGAGACACCATCGTCCTGCCAATCCAAGATCCAGTTCGAACACCTTCCAGTCGAGATCCATGAGACTATACTCGACTATTTGTTCGGTGAACGCTCCTCAACCTTCACATCGGCTTGCGGCAAATCACCTGCTCGGAGTTGGAACAAATCTTTGCGGCATCCGAGGCGGAAAGCTCTTTCGAATCTGGCCCTGATCTTGCCGGTGTGGAGAGTTTTGGTGCAAGATCGGATCTACAGGCACAGTTCGTCACCCACTTTTTTCCGTTGCTCGTTCTCTGTGCTAACATCTGTCGTCACAGTTAAACTCAAGGGAACCACAGCTGAGTTGGAGGAAAGTGCACGCTGGTTCCGTGCGCATCCTCATCTAGCACTCTATGTCCGCCATGTGGAGATATGGATACCAGTCTGGGGCCAGCGGGCAGTCACGTATCCGTCGCGGCAGCCTCCTAGGAGATCAAATGTTGAGAATGGCACCTTGACTAACGCGGCCGCTATTCAGGCGGCAATGGCATGGGACGAACCGGTCTCCAACCCAGCGACTGACTACAAGTATCATTACGCAAGCCACAATGCAACATTAGAAGAAATGTTTGTCCATGTACAGAACGTATTCCCAGCGGCTCGTATACTCACTCTAGAGGGGGGTCACTGCAAAAAGCCGCCAATGGTACGCCATTTCAGAAATGATCCGGCCCGACGTACAGGCCGCCAACTTCCCGTGCTGCCGGACATCCAGACATTCGTCATGCGTGGCGCTTGGAACATCATGCGCGATCACCAACACTGGTTGACTCTGTCTCAAGCCTTACCGAGTGTCCGAGAATGGCATTGTGCATACGCAAAACCGAAGGTTGAGGGGTACGAGACAATTTCCGGGATCCTCCGCCGCCTGCCCCCGACACTGGTACACCTAAATATCAGCCTAGAAGGTTTCTACAACAAGGACAGCTCCCAAAGTCGCTGGTTCGGCGACGGGGCCAATCCACCACACCTATGCCGCCTACTCGGCGAGGTCGCCCCGCGCCTAGAGTCGCTCACATTCACAGGAAAGGTCTGCTCCTGTCTCTTCGAATCCACGCGAAACTTCATGAACAACTGGTCATCCAAATCAAAGCTCAAATCACTGGACCTAGTCGTGAAAACCTGCTGTCGCGACAAAAAGCTCCACCCGAGCCTTCCTTTCCTCGATGAATTCTCCGGAATCACAAACTTGAACTTCATCCGCGCCTTCGAGAAGCTCGTCATCTCCGCAATCACCGGGCTCCAAATCCACCAGGAACTCGACTATATGCGCATCCGCTTCATCGACCTCGACTCCGCTTGTCCACCTCTTAACCCCTACTTCCAACTCGTGGGCACTCACTGCACAGGCCTTTGGAATGAACCCATCCTCGAGGCACTCCACTGCGCCCGCCCGGATGCCCAGTTCGTCAAACTCGCTGACGGCATTGCTCCCCAATACAACCACAACCATCAGGTCGTCGGCGCGATATATCCTCGTACCCGACCGCTAAGTATCCACGCATCCACATACAGGATCATAGCCGATGTACCGAAATCCTGATGGGCGGGTTTGAAAAAAGCACACCCCAAAAAGGAAAGGGAAAAGAAAAACGGAAAGGCGGAAAATAAATCCCAACATCAGCCTTAGCAACAGCATTAACATCACATCACATCACATCACCACATTCTTTCTTTTCCCACAGTGATGATCGCCATATTTGCAGCACAGCCTTTTTATCTGTAGGATTATAAGATACCATAATACGTTATTTCTCTTTTCTGTTTCTTTTTTTTTCTGTTTTCATTTACTCTACTATTGCAGTTTTCGCGCATAACATGACGTTGCATCAGTGGAAATTTGAAACCCCAATGATATCAGGTAGATATCAATTGATCAATCAGCCAAGTAAAGTCAAATATCTATCCGTATAAACATCACTAGGTCAACTCCTGATCAAGGGTAGTCTCCCCACACCCTCCGAATGAACCCAAATTAGGTATATACAAGTTTAAAGGATAGCACTGCCCTCAAGCCCAGTCAGTCATGAAAATAGTGCTCGCTTATTGGCTCTTCACGACCCGAGTACCACGGCCAATATCTTCCACAATAACCCCTAAAATCCAAGCATTCACCGCAAAGAACCCTAGGCTCGCTAGAAATAAGCCCGGGACGAAGCTTGACATTCCTAAAAACTCCAAAAGATATCCTTGTTGCAGCCAGAGGGCCTAATTGTTGCGGCATTAGCATATCCGCCTCTCTCAGAAAAATAAAAGAAGCGACGGAAGAATAGAGGTAGGCAAATGGGTAGTTGGTGTTTATTGGCAACGAATGAACATACCTGGCCGACAACCCACAACGCAGCAACGAATGCTCCCAAACGGGGGTTCTGCAGGAGGGATGACGTGGGGAGGTAAAAAGGAAGGAAGATTAGATACCAAAGGAAGTACTGTTGGTTGTTGTTGAATTCCGTTAGCTTGGATGATGATGATGCGGAAGTGGAATGCGGAAGTGGAATGCGGAAGTAGAGTAGGATGGCCGTGACAGCATGGGAAGGAGATGGTATTTGATGGACTAGACCTTTGACGGTAATGCAGAACCGGGGTATATGTGATGATGAGCAAGGAAATAGACTTACCTGGCTTGTACAGACTTTGTTGAATGTGACGAATGCGAACGTCTGCGCGAGCATCGTTCCCGGTAGATCCTTCTTGCCTAGAACGAGAGGAATGAGGACGACAGCGAGGAGTAACTGCGGGATGAAAGCCAGGGATTCAAAGCTTCCGGTTGGGCTCCCATGCCCGCTCGTGGGGTCTGCAGCGGCAGTTAGGTATAGAAGGGTACTATAAGGCGAGAAATTATGCCGATGGTCAATGCGGGTTAAATGGTGGAAGTATGTGTGCTGGAGGAAAGGCGTGCCGTAGCGCAGGTACATGGTGGCATTGAGGGCAGCAAAGGTAAGCAACGATGTTAGGGTGAGCCGAATGCGACACGGAGTGATGAAGTTGATGATCTGCGACGCAATGCTGACAGGGGTCGTAGTAGGCTCGAGTTTGGTTCGTTCTCCTGGCGGTTTAGTCGTAGCGTTGTTGGATTTGGGTTCGGTCTCCCGACTTTCCGATACACGCGGGGTAGCAGGAGTAGCAGCAGTAGTGAGTCTGTCGTCGTCCAGCCACCACAGTGTAGAAACCCCGTAGATAAACGGGTATATCTTGAAATGCACACCGAGACCTAACAGGATACCAGCAAGGTAGATCCTGCGGTTCAGAACAGCCCAGAGCAATGCGATAACCAGCACCCCCAATAAACCCTCGGAGCTACCACGCGTGCTGATATTCGCGACCATGGGATTCAGAAGCCAGAAACTAGCATACTTTAGAGCGCATCCCGTCGTCATCCCGTGCGTTAAAACCAAGGACTTCGCGACAAGCCACCCCGCCACAACATCGGACAGAGCGAAGAGGGCCTTGCCAAAGGAGAAGAAACCTGGGATGGCCCAGGTGGTGGGAAGCAGCATCCACGCTAGCAGGGGCGTGTAGCGGTATGTGTCGCGGGAGTAGGGGGACTCTCCTTGAGACACATAGCGAGATGCATCGGTGAAGACCATATAGTCTATGTCTGTGTATTTCACGGCCGAGTGCGCGTCTTGCCACGCTCCGTAAAATAGGAGAGCCACGCGGAGGCCAATGGCCGCGCCGTAAATTGCGGCCGGATTTCGGAAGACAGATGCCATTGTCTCGAGATTTCTGTCAATATAGACCTTCTGGTGGATTTATGGATCAGGTCATGAGAGGCTTGTCCCGCAGAAAGATCACAACAGTACGGGCTCAACAAGGGGCGAGCCAAAACTGAGGGAAGCAGTTCTGTTGTGTATACAACTCAATTGGCACATTTATCCATTTTGTCTCCAAATCCTGCCAAAAGTGGTATTGAACGGATTATTGTCGGCGTGATGTTGCCAAACGCCGGAATTTTTGAGTAGTTATTTGGCATCTTCAAATCTGCTGACTCAGCATTCGTCTGATCCTCGTAACTAACTTATACAACCCCCACGTATCCATACTACTGCATTTAAACAAAAAGAAAAGAAAAGAAAAGAAAAGTCGGTTGTTAGTGGCTGATGCTAGTCGTAATCCATGAATATATACATTGCTGGTATGTCAATTTCGCAGAACTTCCAGATAGACAACTAGTATATATGGCAAACAAAAGTGTGGGTATAGAAAGAACAGAAATATATATCAAAGCGAGGGTATGCATGTCATGAATAAAGGGTAGTACAGTTGAATAGATAGCTTAAAAGCCAAATAAAATAATAAGGATTCAGAGTCCAAATAAAAAGGAGAATCGCTAAGTTCGATCACGAATAATAAGGAATGGCTGAGTTTGAGAAGAAAGATGGCTCGGCCAGCTGGTTGCCGAAGAAGCCAGCATTCGAATACTTCAAATGCTTGTCATCGGAGCCGAGCAAGCCTCCATCATTGATGCTGTCCATGTCGGCCATCGGAACTAGGTTGCTATCGCTCCAGCTCAGGAAGTCCCATAGATATTGGCCACTGGGATCGTCTATTGTTGAGGGAGGAAACGGATCGGTGAAACCGTTTTCATGTGTTACCATGAAGCTTCGTCCAAACTCATTTTGGGAGGGGAGAACCCCTGGCGCCATGATAAGATTAGCCTCGCGCGAGGTGGGGGAGAAGTTTGCACTGTTAATGCTGCTAGTTTCAGCAACCATGCCGGAGCCACGTTTGCTGGCTTCAAATATTCTGGAAACTGCATCGAGCGTCTTCCTTGCGGTTGGACTAGCTTGCTGTAGCCTAGCAAATACGAGCAGTGCGTCTTGCACTTGCGTTTGACACGCCTCTGTAGTAGCTCGTGGGTCTGTTACGGTACTGTCGTTGATGAATAGTCCTAATAGAGGGACCATGGTGCTTTGAAAGAGGAACCAGACCGCATTCCAACCGACCATCTGGGGAGTTTTCGCGGCAGCAGAGATGTCACTGATCGCAGTTTCGGCGATCTCTCTACACCTCTCAATTGCCGACCGCTCCTCGGACCTTAAAGCTATATACGGAACCCGCCGCATGGCATAGCTCAATAAGGTGGGACGGTAGAGGAGGATGCGCTGAACATGATATCGCCACTTCATGACTTCCCGAGTATTCGAAATTGATTCAGGGCATGGTTCATGATTTTTAAGGATATATGGCAAGCTGTTATACCACTCCACCAATTGAGTATCAAAGTGGATAATTTCGCTGTATTTCGTCAAAGGAGAAACCGCTAGCGCGTCTTGGATCTGGTTGCTGATTTTGCAGAACCTAACATTCTCCAGAAGTGGGAGGATATCGAGTACGTTTCCCTTGTTCGGTTTAGCAAATGGGAGATTACCTTCGAGGGGGAACAATACATACCGACTCGCGATGATGAGGAAGCTTGACTGTAATTGATGGACTGAATCGACCCATCGTTGGTCGCCCCAAAGTCACGCCTCCCCAACAATCCATCAAAAATAATGTCCACCATACCCTTCGTTTCAGATCCAATGATGCCATCTTCTGCTTATTTATGGGTTCGGGCTGGTCGGCAAATTCTCTGTGTAGGCCCATGGTGGCAGCCATGCGAAGAGCGGCACCCATGAGGGAGTATGCTAAGTTTGGCTGGGCAACATAATGCAAGTACCAGCCTCCTAAAATGCCAAGAGTTTGCACTGTCTCCAAATGGGACGAGGCCAGCGATTCCAGATCCAGGTATGCCCTGCAGCGAGAGTAATATATCTTGTGGGATACATCATCGCAGGTTGACGCACAAATACTACCCATCGTAAGGACCATATTTAGCAAGCAATACCATCGGTCATCCTTTCGGTGCCCTGAGGCGTAGGTGTCGCGGAACGATTGCTCGTCCAAAATCGGTGTCAAAGGCTGAACGTAAGTGAAGTAGGCATCTAGAAGCTGAGACTCCGGCACTTGCAGATGGACCTGAGGAGGAGTGCTGGGTTGATCGTGGACCTGCCATGATTGACCTTCTGATGAAGAGAGTTCTGCCACCGATCCTCGACGCGGACCGCTTGGAGGTGTGCTAGCAAAGTACGCTGCAGAGCCCGGGTCTAGCCATACGATCGTTTTGAACACGGCATTAATGGACGAGACGCCAAGGTACGAGGAGGGCCCTCTCGTGGAAAGCGACAAGGCGTTGACATCGTCAGATATGGTGTTTGCGATCTCGCTGCTCAGATTCCGCGGATCGTTGGACTCCTCAGGCATAGCCTGTAGAGACTCGAGGTTTCCATCTTCAGTCGATATTGGTGAAACATGTGCTTCATGCGAAGTCGAAGTTGCCGGGGATGTTTGGCGCGGCGGTACAGCATTTTGAATTTGTACTTGCGGCTGGGCCAGTGATTTGCTGGTGAGTTCAACAAGTTTCTCACGCGGTAGACTGGCAAGAGCTTCTGGTGTTGCGCCGGGGAAGAGCTTCTCCAGGACTGTCCGATACTCGTCCAACGTTGTCGATAGTTTCTCTACATGCCTGTTCCAAGAGTCTAGTGAGCTGCCGTAGGACAGAACAGGCAAAAAGCAAATACGTACCTTCGAGAGGGCCGGGGATCGGAATAATGGCAGAGGTCGGCTTTCTTGTACCACCGACAAGCTTCGCAAGGCTTTTCACCATCGCATTTAATCTTACGGTGGCGGCAGGATGTACAAGCCCGAAGCGTGGTGACTCGGCGCCCGATCGAGGGCTGGCGCTCTCGACCTCCGCGGGCGGGGGTTGAGGCTGTTGGGTTTTCAAAACCTTCGAAAGTGTGGAACATTGCTAGCGGTAAGTATTATCGATTTGGAGGAGAGTTGAAAGGGAGAGTGACGGGGGGAATGGCCGCTGGCGTGGTTAAGAGAGACGCATCACATGGAGCACAAAGAGTGGGCGTTGTCGATGTAGAAGAAGCAAAGCCCGGAAAAGCGAAGACAGAAGAAGTCTGGAAAAGGCGGGGAAGAAGGCTAAAGAGGGGAGGAAAAATAGACCAGGGAGCGACGGCGTGCAGCGAGCGAGCCAGAGTACCACTCAAGGCGGATAATAAGAAGCTGAATTATACGGATTCTTCCAGGCCTCATGTCATCTTCAGTTGACACTGACCGAAGTAGTCAGATTGGAGATCGTCGGCGCCCCTCGGTCCTCTGATTTCCTCTGGTTTCCTCTGGCTCGCATTTCTTCCCCGCAATCCAGACCTGCAGCCAAATGGGCCCGACTTGTGCTCTAGCGAGCTGTGGCTAGATACGAGACCGGCGATTATCCCGCATCCGACAGTAGCCCTACCTGAGGCTGCCTCCCGCCTTACGGCCCTTACCCACCAAGCCCCCTCGTTAATTATGACAATATTACAGAGCCAGAGCAACCAGGGTCTCGCGATGTGGCCGTTACATCACAGCGTTATTACTGGGGAAAAAGTCGGTGCTGCCGGCAGTGTATTAGACTGCTCGCACCCCAGGAGTACTAGCCTGCCGCTTGTCCGGGCCTTCTGACCGCTGCCTAGTAGTCTTCCTGCAGGTCTGGCTCCTCTTCGTCACCGCTGGCCCTGGCATTAAATTACCTGTGTCAGGATCGGGCCAAGAGCCCTAAGGATCGGTTTCGGAAGGACACGTTATGATTTGACCGCATACCCACATGGGTTCAATAAAGGATGAAAAAGCCGCGCCCTGGAATATAGTTACTCTGGTGAGTCGATGGTCAAGTGGACGTGTTCCGTATACGAAAGCTTGTTGAGAAGCCCCTAAACCGGTTACATGAAGTCGGATTTTCCCTGGCGCTGCCTTCTTTGGAGGAGCTCTCCAGGTTCTGGCGCCCCCAGCTAATCTGGGGGTGGCGAATGGCAAATATCACCAGCCTATCATGGAGGCTGCGACGCGAATATCCCCTATTCAAGATCTGGAAAATGCGCAGCAGATACCACACTGTAGAGGATGACATTCCTCGATTCGATCTTGCGAAATTGCATCACAGTAATGTTAGCCTGCAGTAGTTAGTTCATTCAGCGTTTCCCGTACAGGGATAAAGCCAGGATGCATTAAAAGATTATAATCCGTATCCAAGCGTCTCCGCTCTCTCTTCGTTCAATTAGATCGGCAGGTTTCTGATGGCTCTTGCTGCAGCCTCGGAGAATTACAGAAGAAAAATGAAGCGATATTGAACGAAACGCAAGCAAAGAGGAAGTTGACCCGAGTAACCCCCTTATGGATTCTATTGTGGGCAACGCTGAAGGCATCATAGCCCAAGCGACTTCGGATGTCGCTGGTGAGAAAACGAAGGCGGGTAAGACCATATGCAACCCCGGCCACAGAGTAAGACGACAATGCGAATGCACTCGCCATGCTTTCTCGGTAGTCTTCTGCAAGTGACCAACTCTAAAATGACTGGAACGATGTGAGAATCAGCCTGAAGTCCGCACTTGCTGGTACCAAATCCCCTACCCTACATCAAGAAAGATCCCAGGTTCCCTCACTAGTATTGGATTAATCTCTGGGCGCCAAACGCTCAGATACGCCTGGCTCAAAGAATACGCAGTCGTTGCGGCGTCACCAATGAACCCGACACCCCTGGAGCGACCAAAGCCAATGAAACCCTGTCAGATGTCGTGGCCAACTTGCGACAGTGGTGTCCCGTGGAATTTAGGCTGTATCGAGCCATTTGGTGAAGGTTTGGTGTGGCTTTCCTGCAGTCATCCGCAATGGTTGAACGCCTCCAGAACCATTTTATTTAGAACTTAATACCCGATCTGCGGAACTTCGCTTGTTGTGGATAAATTACTCTCGTCTCGATGGTGCCGGAAACTTCGGCCGCTTTTGGGAGTCGGGAAGATCCGAGAGTTGCATGACATTCAGGGCAGGCAATGTGCTTTTCCGATGGGCATTTTGCTCGGGCTATCCATGCCCGACTCCTGAACTGATAATTCTTCAGGAT